ATGCTAATCAGGAAGAAACCTCCAGCAGAACCAGGCTCAGGACAGGCGGCCCTCTGCCTCGACCGGCTGGTTGGAGGTCAGGAAAGAGACACAGAGAAACACAGAAGAACTGGTCCAGGTGCACCTACTTCTGGAAAAGAGACAAAAAGAAAAAACATGTTATTGATAGAAATAATTACAACAAACATGTGGAGAAGAGAGATTAAAGACAACAGCAGAGTGAGGAAATGTGCTCAGTTTGTGCTCCAGCAGTCTAAGTCTATAGCAGCAGAAATGAAGAATAACTCATGAAACCTAAGTCTAACTATAGGATTTATGAAAAAGGAAAGTCTTCAGTCTAATCTTAAAGTAGACAGAGTGTCAGCCTCATGGACAGAAACTGGAAGTTGGTTCCACAGACTCAGGCTTTCTGTTTTAGAAACTCTACACCTCTTTTARATGAAAATTTAAGGGAGGTAATCTACACAGAAAAGAGTTCTCTAATGTATGGCAAGAGCAGTCGGGTGATGCTTGAATAATATAATTGGATAAAGAAAAATACTCTTTGCTTTCATCCCTGTGAGCATGAATCTGTGTGCAGATGGCTCAGGCAGAATGGATTTAGTTCTGATTAACTGCTGTTATCCCTGACATGTTTACAGAAGAGCAACTGTAGCAGTTAAGCCTCTGGTATCCTTGTTTTCCTCTTRTTCTCCACATGTCTCATACAGCCTCTAACAGCCAAGTCTTGTAAACTGCATCCCTCTCTTTTTCTATCTAATTCGATCCTGGTATATATGCCATAATAGCTGTATAAACTATCCTTAAGGCAAATATCTATTCTTTTCTTTCCTGATATGAATTTAATGTAATTTAGTTTGTTCTTTAATGTCATTATTTAATAGAAGCTAAAAGTCTTCTCTCCTTTAAGTCTGCTAAAACAGATCCAGTGAGAATGTAAAGAGATGTTTCTTTGAGAAAGAGTGTGTGTGTTAGCTTGTTCCCCTGTTTCACACATGCTGTACACTTGATTCAGATGGACTGTCTCCTTGTTTGTTTTCTACTGATGATCTGTAGCTTATTTAATGAGGTGTGTATGAAAAGAGAAGAGGCCTGAGCAGTTCTCATAACTTAACGTGTTCATCTCTTTTGTCTACTTTCTTTCAGGGATGTACCTTTCTGACTTGACGTATATAGATTCAGCCTACCCTTCCACAGGCAGCATACTGGAGAACGAACAGCGATCCAACCTGATGAACAACATCCTCAGAATCATGTCAGACCTGCAGAGATCTTGTACCTATGGTGAGACACACACACACACACACACACACACACACACACACACACACACACACACACACACACACACACACACACACACACGTGTGTGTTTGTTCTTGAACCCCGTTGGGACCTTCCATTGATTTTCATTCATTAGGCCTCATGCAGGAACATGTTCGTATTTTTATCCTAAATTTCTCGTACTTTTGTTCGTACAAAGGGTTCGTACGAACATGTCACGTCAGATTCAACAAACTCTTCTATCTTC